TTTCTTTCAAGCTTACCTTTTGCTTCTTTTAAGGCTTCGGGGTCTGTTTACTCCTTTTTCGCTTGGGGCCTTCTTTCATTAGGGCTTCAGTCTGGGTTGGCCTGGGTTTCTGTTTCTTTGAAGCTTACTTTTTACTCCTTTTAGGGTTTCGGGGTCCGTTTATTCCTTTCAGGATTTGGGCGCCCTTTCATTAAAGATTCGGTCTATGTTTACTCCTTTTTAAGGCTTCGCCCTGGGTTTATTCCTGTTAGGGCTTCGGCTTTCTTTCACGCTTACCTTTCACTTCTTTTTGGGTTTCGGGGTCGGTCTACGCCGTTTAGGGCTTAGGGTTTCGGCTTGGGCTTTCTTTCACTAGGGTTTCGGTCTGGGTTTACTCCTTTTTCGTGGTTCGGCCTGGGTTTACTCCTTTTCGGGCTTCGGGGTCCGTTTACTCCTTTCCGGGATTCGACCCTCTTATTTGAGGGTTTCGGTCTGGGTTTGCTCCATTTAGGCTTTCGGCCTCGGTTTACTCCTGTTTTCTTTCATCAGGGTTTCGGTCTGGGTCTATTCCTTTCAGGGCTTCGGCCTGGGACTCAGTTTAGGGTTTCGGCGTTCCTTCAAGCTTACCGTTTACTGATTCTAGGGTTTCGGGATCTCTTTTCTCCGTTTAAGTTTGAAGGGTTCGGCTCGCTGTCCTTTTTTCCTTTTAAGGTTTGGGCCTTCTTTCATTCGGGTTTCGGTCTGGGTTCGTTCCTTTCAGGGCTTCGGCCTGGGTTTACTCTTTTTAGGTTTTCGGGTGTCTTTCAAGCTTACTTTTTACTTCGTTTAGGGTTTCTGGGTCCGTTTACTCCTTTTTCGCTTGGGGCCTTCTTTCATTAGGGTTTCGGTCTGGGTCTACTCCGCTTACCTTTTACTTATGTTAGGGTTTCGGGATCATATATATATATATGTATATATATATACATATATACATATGTGTGTGGCTATATATATATATATAGACATGTTCAGACCTGTATGCATATATATATATATATATACACATATAGATGCATGCATGTACATATATGTCTATATACGTTTCGGTGGGTTACTCCTTTTAGGGCTTCGGGTTTCGGGTTTCTTTCAAGCTTACGTAAACCCAGACCGCAACCCTAATGAAAGAAGCTTGTTTGCCAACCTTGGACGGCTAGCCTGGCAACAAAGGGCTTTCGCTCGAGACTGTTGTGTCGCGAGAAGCAAAAAGACACAGGTGACACAGAAAGAAATGACACAAGTGACACAAAAAAACACAAGTGACTTCCCTTCCCAACTCTGTGAGGTCGCAGTGGCACTGTACGTACGAATGAGGAATGCCGTCACAGCAAAACGACAGGCCTCGACCAGTTCCTCCACCTGCGGGTCTCTCCAAGACTGCTCCACTCCGAATCGAAAGATCGAAAGACAGAAAGGCAGCCTGAAGAGCTGCAGGCGCCGCTGGAGTCGGGAGGGGCAGCGGCTGTGGCTGTGGCAGCTGCGAAGGCGGTGCCTAGAAGGAGGTGCCGAACGGAAAAGGCGAGGGGGGGCAGCTGAGAGTGCGGGCCGGGCACCTCTGGCAGAGGCTGCCGTGGCGTTGCGTTCGGAACCGAGCTCTGGGCCGGCTCCGCCGGAGCCGGAGCCGGAGCCGGAGCCGGAGCCTGATCGCAGCGAAGCCCTGCCGCAGACGAAGCCCAGGCCGAGGCCGCAGAGGCGGAGGCAGAGCCGGCGGAGGCAGCTCCGCCAGTCCTCAGCGGCTGCGGCGTGACGGGGCTTTTCAAGAGAAGCTGGCGTCGAGGAGGGGCTTGCAAGCCTCACTTGACACGCCGGAGAAGCTGCACTCAGCCTGCCCACCCTTCGAGCACAGGGCACTTGCAGACCCTGCATCTGGCGTTGCATGATCAGCCTCGGCGTGCTCGGAAGTCGAAGCACAGATCTTGTGAACAGTTCCCCCTCCGAGTCAACGGCTGCTGCTGCTGCTGGAGCCTCAGAACAAGACCAAAAGCAAGGCCGACGCCATCCTCATCCGCCTCATCCCTCATCTGCCGTGAACCGCGAAAGCTTTAGACAATTTAGGATGCCTTGGGCCGTCACTGCTGAAGCTGCTTCTGGAGCTGGTCGATTTGGCTTTGAGCTTCGGCAGGTGTGGGAAGCCTCAATGAGTCAAAGCCAGCTCGAGAGGTCCACAAGAGCGATCGGAGACGAGTGCCGGGCACCACGTGACTCAGGTCCTGAGTCTGGGCTGGAACCGGCTGGCCTGACATTTGGCAAAAAGGGCAGAATGAGGGCATGCGGCATATTCATTATCGAAGTCTTGACTTGCTGGCTTTGACCAGTAGGATGCAGTGAAGCAACGATTTTTTGGACCGCAGCTTTGCCAGATTCATTCCCGCCAGATGTACGTATTTCTCTCCGGTGAAGGCTTTGCAGTACAATGCCAACTGTGCGGTTTGTAGCTTGCTTGTGCCAGCCGGTGGGGTGGAGTTGTTGTACTGGGGGGGTAAGGCTCTTATCCAAGGCTTGAACGCAAGCCTGAACTCAGTAGATCCAGCCTGTGAGGTATGTTTGGACTCTTTTTCAATGCTCATGCTGCGGTGCAGCCTGTGCGAGCTCTGTGTGAGGATGTAGGTAGGTAGGTAGGTAGGTAGGTAGGTAGGTAGGTAGGTAGGTAGGTAGGTAGGTAGGTAGGTGGGAGGTAGGTAGGTAGGTAGGTAGGTAGGTAGGTAGGTAGGTAGG